CATGGAGGACAAGACCGCTCCACCGACCACGCCGCCACAGTGACAAGCTGCAGGGCTCGAACATGCCGCCCCTGCCGAAGAACGCCACGTAGCAAATACATGTACCGCCACTGTGCCTCCCTTCGACTATAAAAGAGAGTGACCAGGGCCGCTTCTAGAAGAGGAGACCGGTGCAAGCCACGCACAACACTCTGTAACACACACACTCCTTCAGTGCAAGAGATCAACATCTCAAGCAACCCACACTGCAATTCACAGAGACCTGGGGCTAGCTCCCTCTCTCGCCCAGCTTGTAAGCCCCTACTACAAGCACCTCGGTGCAAGGAATACAAGATCGCTCCCTCAGACTGGATGTAGGGCACCTATTGCCTGAACCAGTATAAACCTTGTGTCTCTTTGTATCACCATCCGGGATTAGGAACACGCAGTACACTTTCACTAGTCGGTTGAGGACCCCCGGTCCAAAACACCGACAGTATCACTAAGCATTATGCAAGTGGAGATCACTAAAGTGGTGTATCAACACCCTTGGTATGTTTCCTCAGCTCTCGACACCTTAAATGACCGGTTGGGGGTCTATTTATAAGCCCCATGAAGAAAGTAGCCGTTGGGGGCGAAACCTAGCTTTCTGCTACTGACCGGACGCTGCTGTCGTCCTGACCGGACACGTCCGGTCGTCCCGATCGTTGAGCACGCGCTTAAAGATCGGACACATAATGGCTGGCTTTTGAACTAGGGTTAAGTAATTTTTTTTTCATATTTTAATAGAAGAGAGAGAAAAACTAGATTTTAATTAAGAGCTAAGCTCTTACACATATTTTAAGGTTATGTGAGAGTGTCATGTGAGGCTATCAATGTTAAAAGCCATATGCTAAAAGTTAACAATATTAGAGACGTTGGGGGTGTTTGGGTGGAAGAATTCTGGAGGAATTTGGATGGTTTGGAGAAATGCTGAAGAAATTTATGAGAGAAAAACACTGTTATGGATGGAAAAAGAAACGGATCAATCTGGATTTAAGCGCACGTAAATGGGGCCATTAGTTTAGAGTTAGTACCTAGCTCCAACCATTACAGGCTAGAAGCCAGCTGCCGGTGAGCATTCCTCGTCTCCTCCCGTGCCCTGTCACGACATTGTCCTGGTAGACCGTTCATTTTCAACCTCACCTCTAGTTTCAGCAATTCATTCTCTTGGAATAGTATTGGGATCTAGTATGTGTCTGTGTATAACAATTTCTTTTGTCGTACAACCTCTATCCTTAAAGGAATACAATTCTACCAATTTGTAGGGTCAAACTATCTTGAGTTTAATAAATGTTAAATGAAAAAAGGTAGAGATGTAAAATATTTATGGTACCGACTACAAAATACAAGAATACCTCATATTTGTAATGGAAATATGGAATGTAGTTCCATATTGATACTTATTACATATCATAAATATTAGTATTTTTTAAAAAAAAATATTTTGTTAAATTTACAATTGTTGAACTTCTCAAGAAATGTTTTTTTTTTGACAAAGGGAGTGAGTATTATAAATAAAAGACTTCCCTGGTCAGGTCTCTGTGCTTTGGCTGGAGCGGAACGCACGGAAAAGTTGCAGGCCCGGTCTAGGACGAGCAGCGGACCACATATGTCTTTGTATGCACGCTGGCTCAACAAAACAACCAAAAGCTAACCTTGCACAACAGGACATTGACCGCCTCCGATCCTGCAGTCCAGTGCGCAAGGGCATTCTCGTAACCTGACGTGTACAGCCTTCCAGCAGCTTTACCATCTACTAACTCCTGCTAATTTTATTTTATTTATACATACTGAAAGAGTTTTCCCCATTTTTAAGGCACCACCATTACTGAAAATGGTTTATTTTGAATCAAAAAAATACAGAGCCGTTGTCATTTTTTTAAAACAAAAAACTAGGGCCGCATTTGGCTCCCGCCGCACATGCACGTCGCCACAGCTGCGGGCGCGCCGTCAGCGGACGAATCACATTTGGCAAGTTGATGCGTCAAAAATGAACTGGAGTGTGCGGCGGCTGCCAAACCTTGCGGCGTGGGTGTTTGGTCGACGCGGCATGCCACACTTGCGGCGCCGCGAGCTGTGGCGCGCCGTGGACGCGAGCCAAACACGCCCTATATATAGAGCATTGATGCTCTTTTTAGAGTTATATTCGGATCTTATATTTATTCGTGTTGCTGCGATTTTATTACTCATAGTCATAAATGTTAGTTATTTTTAAGGGCTTGTTTGTCGTAGCCTTCTTGGCTCCGGTGACAACTTGTACGGAGGAACCGTACCAAACACTTTGGAAGGAAGACTTATTTTTCTACTGAATAATAGATGAGCTAGAGTCGCTGTGGAGTCTTGTGGAGGCTTCGCTTTGCCTCCGAAGGGAGGCTGAGGGTGTCCCACAGGAGAGTAGATGAATGGGAAACGAAAGTGAGGGTAACACATGCAATAAACTTAGGAGTAAATTGTAATTAATTCATCATTTATCACTGTAGTGGCCCCGGTATTTGTAAGTGATATCGGGGGCACGGTGTAATTCAGTTACATCTAGGCCGGCTAGGGGCCCTCTTACACAAACGCATGAGCATCTTCGACATTACGCACTCCATTCTCAACTACTCGCTAAACGCTGTCAGGTCCTCTGTTAAGGGATCTCCCTTTTCGTTCACTCCGACGCGGCAACTGCGCAACGTCTCCGAAGGTGATCTATCACCGGGCAAGCTCATGGATCGCCCTGGTCCTAGTCAGGGGCGTCCCTCGTAGGGGGTTCCGGTGAGGCCACATGAATGAGGCCGAGGCGTCAAAGGCGCTCTTGAGCCTCGGCTGGAAGCCGAGACCCTGGCAATAGGTCGGGCTGGGCCGCGAGGGTCCTCGCGCGGTGGAGGTGCGACTTCGATATCATCGCGGTCTCGCGGGGGGAGGAGGTGTGGTTGAGGGTCCTGCTTTGGCTGAGGCAGAGGCGGGATGGTGTGTCTCAGGGTGGGCGTCCCCGCAATGGTCGTTTTGGGCTCAATTTGTGGCTCCTGAAGTGCTCCAGTTGTTTTGGAAGAGTAATTGAGAAGGAACTAATGCCAAACAAACTCTAAATTATCATTTTGTAATCAAAGTCTAAAGAAGCTAGCTTAGGAGTATCACCGGAAGTCGCATGACAGATGACACCATTTGTATTTGTACGCTACTACTCCACTACGCTGTGCTTCTCACTTCTCAGGGCCGACAAGGAGCATATATATATTTTGTAATGATCTTCTCATCACTTCTCTTCCTTTCCCATTTCGAAAACAAAACTTGCGACTTTTCACACCTTTTCTTCAAAGTAAAAGCAAAGCAAAAGAAAAAAATAAAGGAAACGTTTGCTTAATTTGCTTCAGTTTAATAATATGTTCTCCTGTCTGATTCAACCCTTCAGATATACGGAGGCAAGGCAATTATTCTGTTGCAGGATAAGCAGTATATGAAATTTTGCACAGTAACAATTTTTTTGAGCAGATGTACAGTAACAATTTGCAATGCCCATATTGTACTTCTCGTTTCACATACGTACGCACAGTTGTTGGCCTTCCGCCCTCTTCCAGCCCAGTTCTGTGACAAGCTGGGCCATATATAGCCCAAATTGTGAAACGGCCGAAATAAGCACAACACACTATACTAGTAAGCCCACTATGATTAGCCGAAAGGGTCCAGACGGGCAGGCCCCGCAATCAGTGGTTTCCATTTTCTTTCGTGTCTGTGTCGCTGCGGGAAAACAAAAAATCGAGAAATGTTTCTCTCAAAAAAAAAATCGAGAAATTTAATAATTTTACACCTGGTTTTTCTAGTTATTTAAGACGATCTATCTCATTCACCCATTAATCATCCAAGGGTCAGCAACTAGAACACCTTAGAACACAAGCTTAAGGCAAGATTTGCATCGAAGTTATTAGATATGTCAGTTAAAACAAAACCACGTCAAATCTGGAAGGAAAAATATTTGTGTTTGACTAAACTGCGTGCTCCGATCACTCTTTCTCAAACTGTTGTTCTATTGGTTTGCTATCTGCTGCATCTATCGGATAGGCTCCTTGCTCCAAATATGAGAATTCCAAATCTAGTATGGTCTAATTTAAACAGAAGAAAACTGCCGTGCAACAATATAGAGCATTACTAGTTAAGACTAATATAAGAAGGTGCTCAAATGCATTTCTCATTGCCAACAGTCTTTAGTAAAAAAACTAAATTAGTGGGTTTTCAGATCTAAACCAAGAAAAAAAATATAAAAGGTTTCAAATTTCTTTGGTTTAATTGAAAGAAAGAAATACTGCTAATTACTTAATTAGGTCAGTTTTAGTGGGAGTTTTATGAGAGTTTCATTTGCATTTAATAGCCTGCCACATATGTAATTTTGATGACATGACAATGTTTTAATGAAGAGAGACAAGAAATGAATTTCATGGGGATTTAATGTCTATGAGTCTTAGAATTTAATGTATATGAAACCGTAGAATGAAGCTTTATATTGAGAGTGAGTGTTTCATCTAAGTTTTATTTTTATCTTATATGACATGACAGTCTTGAAAACAACGTAACGAAACTCTCCACTGAGACTTGCCTTATAAACAACTTGCCTATTATGTTCTTTTGCTAGTGCCATGCAAGCTTGGATAATTTAATTATGAAGTGTGATATCGATTACCAAAAAAATACCTAGAGAAATTGAGAAAAAAAGGCCCAAGCACCACATGCTGCAACGCATGAATCTCAGGAAGAAAATCACCGTGACAGAAAAAGGGGCATTTTATTCACGATCACATAACAGTAAAAAACATCAACAATTGATTATCCATACTACGACCTGACAAATGGTAGTGTTGATTGCTTTGTTGATTGCAACAATAATAGCAAGTTCCGTGTCTCAACACATTATTACAAGAATGAATATCAAGGAATTTATTCCATGGAGGAACTAATGTCATCGCCTTCAACCTTGCCGCCATCATCATACATTACTATGCTAACTAAGTTTTCTTGGATTTTAACTCTGCCACTCTTTCCTCTGTGGCCTTTAGTGCTTCTACATATATCCCTACTAACTGAAAAGCAGTTTTGAGTACATGCATGAGGTACATATAATCAACAATGAGCCATGACATATCAAACGATTTTTTATTTCATTTATGACCATAAAAAAGAGGTATAGGTATTAAGGGTTAATTATGCTGCGAATTTTGTTCTTACCTCATCAATTTCTTCATGGGAAATTATCAGTGGTGGGGACATTACTATCAAGTTTCCAAGAACCTTAACAATCATGCCATGTTTCTTACACTCCGCTCCAAATATTTCACCAACGCCTGGAAATGCCATCAAAATCATTAGAGTTTACTTTGTGCAAACCTCAGGCAAAGGCCGGAATAAAAATTCCTTTTTCTAAAAAAGGAATGTATCTTAACTGACTCCACTAGTGAGAGTTCCATTGGTACATGCACGAGGGCCCCTTTAGTTACAATGCAACTTCTATTCATGTGTGTTCAGATGAACTAGAAGCTTTCGCTCACCCGGCCCTAGGGGTTGAATCTAGCTATTTTATACATCACATATATGGGACATAAATAAGGACTTTATAAGCCACATTCCTTTCGGCACATGACCATCTATAGACATGATATAAGCATGTGCGGACACACCACAAGATAAATGTAAATGGAAGGAAACAAAGTGAAACATATGAGTTCACAAATTCAGTGAAGCCTTTAATGAAACCCCCCCTACATGTTTAAAAAACCAAACTATACTTGTCAAACATAACTAAACAAATGTGCAATAACAATCGATCTTTGCAATGATCAATTTAACTAAAATCATTCAAACTTCATTTGAACAATGCTTGGTACGCTTGGTCCAACTAAAATAGGACACTAGATTTAGGACGAGGCAACATTAGTCCCTCTCTTTATTATTATATTCCTTTCCATATATAGAAAATGTAAGTTGAGCAGTTACCCTAGTTAAAAATTTGCCCTCCACAAGAAATGGCTTGCTCTATGTCTAAGAACATGATGCTATTACATTTTAATAACTTGGCATATGTCAACATAATAAGATAAAACTTTAGTTTAAATAGGTCACATGTATGAGCCAAAGGTCTATGGTAGTACACACAACATATTTAATTCTGAACCTAATTATGGATAGTAATTCTTAGTTGTGGTCATGCTAATAGAACTTCAAGCAACATTATTGGAGACAGGCTAATAATTTACTAAATAAGAGCATGTGGTCACTACTATAATTACTTACCCCACTCAAAAGGGAATAACTCATTTGGTGATTTGTTGTCAGTGAACTCAGTTGCTATCAGTAATCCTACACCACGTGTCTGCATATACAAGAGCACAACCAGATAAGCCATGTTGTTTACTTGGTTACAAAAATAAATCCATGCTTGTGTGGTACATGAGCACCATCAGAAACTTGGAAGTGTTTGAAAATATGAACATAGAAATGAATACCTCCCCAACAATTGGACTTCCAGGTGCAAAGGCCTTGATTCCCTTCTGGAACCTTTGAGAAACATGTGCCACATGACCCGGAATATCTCTTTCCCTGGTACCAGTAATTTTGCAGAACATTTGTGAAAAATAATTAAAACCTATGCACCTAAAGTGGCCTTGTATATATGTTTTGAGAATAGAAAAATGAGTGTACCGATAAATTTTTAGTGCTTCTAAAGCCACAGCACAGGAAACAGGATGGCCAGAGTATGTGTAGCCATGAGCAAATATACCTGTGCCAAAAGGCTAGAGCTCAGAATGTTCTCATTTTGACTACAAACCACAGATGAGTTCATACAATGGCATTACCAAGCTTATTGATATGAGAATGAATCACATCTGATATTTCCCGGCTAACAATTATTGCTCCAATAGGGGCATATGCAGAAGAAAGAGCCTATCAAGGTGAATTAACAAGAGTCAGATAATAGATAAAAAATGTTTCAATTGTAGTACTAGCAGTTTGGTACTAGAGAACTCACCTTGGCCAAGGATACAAGATCTGGTTTGATGTTATACAAATCAGATCCAAACATGGTTCCCAACCTTCCGAATCCAGTAATGACCTAGAATGGATGTTGGTAAGTTCACACCTTTTGCCAAAAAAATGTGTTATTGTTTCTTTCACCTTCTTATATGTGTGTACTCAGTAAGAAACAATGTCAACATACCTCATCTACCACGAAAAGGATGCCATGCTTCTTAACCACGGCTTGAATCTATTGAAATTAAGGCAAGAAAATAATAGACAATGAACAAGCAGAATACAAATTTTATTTGCGGTAAGACACTATTGCTAGAGACTCTGTAAGGTGCAATGAAGCACCAAAAATTTGTAGTATGACACTAAATAAATAAATAAATAAGATGGGTTTCTATACTAGTACAGATAATGTCTCTACCAGTGGCACCTTTTCAATTTCCACTGGTGGTTTTTGTGAAGAACTAGTATGAAAGGCAAATGAAAACGGTGATGTTTTACTAGCGTCGCTTAAGAACTGTCTGTGTAAATACTTACACGGGCAACTGGTTTAAGGCTGCTGCCAGTGTAAATCGATTTACATAGGTGGCATGCCTACACAAATAGCCAGTTTAAATATTTTACAGAATCCATAAATCGGGCAAAAAAATAGCAAAAAAAGTTACCTTGGAGGAAGCCCCACTAGGCAACCCTGCCACATAAGTCACATGATTTTTCACGCGAAATACACACATGTGCGGATTCCATTTGTATTCACTTTAGTGAATATTGTAATGTATATTTAAAATGCTAAATGAATTCAAATGAAAAAGTTTGAAGTGAAAAATTTTAGTTCCCATCATGTACTACAACTTTGGTTTAGGCTATTTCTCCATCCAATGTCATTTGGAAAATTTATAAAAATATTTCTTTTAAAAGATCATTAATCTTAAAATAGAATTTTTGGGCTCTAAACAATTTCAAATGAAAAATTAGTCAACTAAAAAGTTGCGGATCTTTTCGAGTACTATAACTTTGGTTTATGTAATTTCTTCATCTGATGTAACACCCTAAAATTTGCTTTTCTTCAAATAGAGTTAAATTCATCTAATTATGTATTTTTGTGTCAATTTAAACATAGAGAAAATAATAATTTTTATTGAAGTTAAAATTCATCATAAGTTTAGTAACATGTTTATGCATTCATGCGGGTGCATTTGTTTTATTGTGCTGAGTGGTATTTTCCAAAACTCAAAACAGATTCTAAATGCATTTACAAAATAGCTTTGAAATGTAAGAAAGGGGAAAAAAGAGAAAAATTCCCTCTCTTTGTGTTCGGCCTAGTGGCCCAGCCAGCACAGCGGCGCAGGCCTAGCCCGCGGCTTGCTCTCACCCATCGGCCCTTCACCTCGGCCCACTCCCTTCTCCCCCACCAGGCCGTAATTCTCTCTCCTTCTTTTTGCCCAAGCCACACAGCATGACCTCGGCCCAGCACCACTCCTCGCCACGCGCAGGCCCAAGGGCAAGCGACCTAGCAGCCAGCCGTGCCCTCACTCCGTTCGCTCTCTCTGCCATGCCGACCCCGCGCCCGAGTGCCATCTCGGGCCCGCTGCACGGCGTCGTCTCCTTCTTCTCGTCTCAGACCCGGTCTCCTCTCCTCGATGGAATCCACCTCAGCAGGATGCCGGTTCCTTCGGGATTTTGGGTGATAAGCACGCCGAGCCATCCTATAAAGCCTGAGGCCCTGTCCGCGCCCTGTTTCGCATCTGCACGCCACCGCCTTTGCCCTAGCTCCGTGTCGCACGCATGCTTGTTTTAGATCTCGCCGTCAAAGCAGAGCTCGCCCGCCGCCGTTGAAGCCCTTGCTCGCTGCCTTTCCGTCGTGTTGAGCACACTAACGTGTTTTGTACTGAGGTTTCAAAGCTCCCGAGCCCCTGTCTCCTATTTCCCTCGCTCTCGTGTGGTCCCTAATCGCCGCCGAACTGTCACAGGGAGCCACCGTCCGCCCCGCCTTGCCCTATGCCGTCACCGAGCTACCTCCGTCCATGAAAGGTGTCTAGGTGAGTTCACCGTCGTCCGCTAAACCTCCTTATGCCTTCCCTGTGGAGAACCGAGGCTTATACGTCGTTCTCGGCTAACTCCGGTGAGGTATCCGCCGCCGTCCATGGAGGACCACCGCGCCGATGTTCTATTCTGGCCGGTCAAACGTCCCCAACCCGCCTCGACCGTCCATCCGCGGATCTACGGCTCAGATTAGAACTTACCCCTTTGCGCAGCACGTTTTGCTAAAGAGCCCCTCACCTTTTATAGAATAAACCCGCGGTTTGCTCCCTTTCAAAAGTATTTCAAGTTAAGTCCTTTCTCTTCCATTTTGAACCCTGTATTTTATAAAAATAGAATCCGCCGTCCATAGAGGTAGTTTTCTAGGATAGCCCTCGTGTTTATAATCAAAATTTCGTATAGGTCCATTTTAAAAAAAACTACAAAACTGCCACAGAATCTTGTTTCGAGTGTAGAATCTCCGTTTTAACTCCGATTTGAGTGATTCTCGCGTCTGCATGTTCGTAGCATCGCGTAGAACAGTTTTAAAACCTTTTTAACTTCTTTTTATATTGTTTGGTGTACTATTCTAATTAGTTTATATATGTTTGCTATGCATGTATGTATGGATGCCTGTGTGGTGCTGCTTGATCTCGATTGGACAGTGAGTTTTACGTGGGTGATTTGAAGCAACTCTTTGAACATCAAGACTATGCTTTAATCAAGACCAGCGGCGATACATTGAATTAAGGCAAGTATAATATGAGGCTCCTTGTTACCTATTCACTTTAATGCAATCTCAATTCATATGATATGTTAAAGAACCGCTTGGAGTCTATTTACCTTGATATTGATTATCCTATCTTTGATTTACCTATGGGTTTTGCATGTGGGTAGTATGCTCAGTTTGCTCCAACTAATGTTGATTAAAGAATACAATTAAAGATATATGCAACATGGTATTAAAAGACGCTTTTTAGCAATATGGAACCAAAGGAGGCTAGAGCATTGGGCTTTTTCTTATGGTGCTCTAGTTTCTCTCCATAAGGACTCATCTTTAAGTGGCAACCCAGGACTTATAGTACAACCATGAGGACCACATGGCTCTGGTCTTAGTCCAGTACCTTGTTCTTTCTAGTTTGTAGCAGTTTATCGAAAGGGCAAGAGGGGCATACCAGGCTGGGTATGGGCCTCATCCCCAGGGTGTGTACTATGCTACGAGTATTAGTGCTATTTTTAGAGATGACTCCATAACACTTGGGAGATGGAATCCTTCGCGGCTGCTCCTTATTAGAACGACTGGGGAAAAGCTTCGTAGTATACCCTGCCTGCTCACCTTGAAAGTATTTTGGGAGTAATTAACCCGGGCATTTGGGCAACACGACTCATGATGAAAGTGTACAACCTCTGCAGAGTGTAAAACTGTTATATCAGCCATGCTCATGGACACGAGCGGCCTAGATCCTTACTGAATAGTTGGTTACTTGGATGGTTTGGGTTATGATTAAAATTGCTGATATCTCTAATTATTCATATTCAGGAGCCTAAGCATAACTTAGAAACTTATGATTAATAATAAAATATGACTAACTAAAAGTGCTTACCGTAGTTCGGCCGTGTTAAGCCTTTTGAGCCTGCATCCCCTCATGTTTGCTTGCTAAGCGGTAGTAGCATACGCTTGTTTTATTTCAATACTTTGGCAAAATCCTGGATGGGTACCAGATGAAGGTTCTTCAGTGGAGTTTTCTAAGAGGTGTTAGGCTTGTGATCAACCAGTTGACGATTCCTGTGGTGTTGGAGGCTTCGCCAAAAGAATAGAGTTATAGTATATACTATAAAGTAAGACTATGTCTTTTGTAACAAATATTTATGCGCTATGTAATAAAGGCATTCTCTTTGATATTACCCCTTCAATTTGTAACTATATGTGTGAATTGAATTCCTAGGCACACATATGGGATGTACCTAGTTTTGTTCTTAAAACTGGGTGCAACATCTGAGGTCATAAAAATCAGAAAAAGTTGATTTCAAATTATTTGGACTAGCGGCAGGTTAAGAAAACTGCCTGTGTAAACATATGTACATTGGCGGATTTCAAAAGTCGCGGATCTTTTCAAGTACTACAACTTTAGTTTAGGTAATTTCTTCATTTGAGGTCATAAAAATCAGAAAAAGTTGATTTCAAATTATTTGTGCTGGTGTAACCATAGGAAACCCACTAGTAGAGATGTGTCTCCATTCATAGTTCATAGCTATGGGCCCATAATTCTATTTCTACTTGCGCCTGTTCTTTATGAACTGCCAGTGGACAAAAAGCCCTAGCATTAGCAAAAACCTTTTGTATACTAGTGCCACTTAGAAAAATACACCATATAGCTTTAAATTATAACATGTGGAACCACCTTCTCAAAATATGTATTTGGAGGAAGGATGACACCACCAGCACCAATCACTGGTTCAACAATGAAGGCAGCGATCTAAGGGAAAAAGAAAATAGATTAGATCTGTAAAGTCTGGTATTAATTAAGCTTATTTGAGGCCAATCAAAAGAGCTCTACCGATTCTGGCCCTTCTTTGGGGATAAGATTCTCTAAATTGTTGGCTAATCTACTTGCAAATTCTTCTTCCGTCTCACCTGTTTGCCACAAAAATCATTTCATCCAAAAATTTGTTGGGATAATCATAAAGCATAATTTTGAGTACCAGGGAGATGAAAACGCCAGTAGTGAGGGCAGCCTGTGTGCAGAACAAAATTTCCTGGTAGATCAAAGTCCTGGTGCATGGCAGGAAGACTAAACATGTAGAAGGAATCAGCAAAACAGTTTCAAATACGAGGTAGTGATTTCATTAGTGAAATCTCTAATGTTGGATATATTTTGATCTCAAGCTAATTTTTTTTAAAGGAAAACAATACTCTCCCAGATAGGCTAGCCGATATGAATGTTGTTCCATGATATCTGCAATAAACATTAAGCATGACATTAAAAGTGATTCTGTAAAACTTATTAACAATAACATCTACAAAATGGGATTTAGAGGGGATCAATTAAAATAAATGACAATGGATGTGCTATATAAAAAGTGTACAAAAAAACAAAATATAACAAAGTAATAATTACATTCTTTGTGTGAGGCACATAAGTGGATAAATAATATATAGCTTACGATTGTGATCGTGCAATGATTTTCTTCTTCTTTGGCCTCCCCAATGCATTGTTATAATACCATACTAGCTTGACCTATAAAATAATTGAATATAATTATATATAAACCAATATTATGAGAGTAAGAAGATGAATATGTGAAACCAACATTGTGAAAGTTACAAATGAAGGAAATAATATAAGGTGCCCATGCCTTCTGAGAACTACTTTTGACAAATAGTTAGTTCAATAACATGTGTATTATGTTATATATGTTAATATTTTGGATTCATACTTTAAAGCATGTTCTGTTCTTGTGATTTCTAACTATAACAAAGTTATACTATTAGATTTTTTGGTCAAAGTTAGAAATTTGAAATGTGCTGGTGCATTACATTGGAAGATCTAAACATTTGATGCATTCCATTTAGCAATTTATTTTTTGCTGACGCCATACATGATTATAAAGCAGATAAGTGTCACACCCAATTTTAAGGATAAAATTGAATGCACAAAACTCGTGTGTGCCCAGGAATCAATCACACACACAAGCTGACAAATTACATAAAGTATCATCACGGTGTCTCATACATCAGAGTTATAATAAAACTTAGTCTTATACATCACAAATGAATAATAAAAAGATGATAAAACTCGTGGGCCGTCTTCACGGGAAGGTCAACTGGTTGACCACAAGCCTAATAATCCTCCGGAAATCCTCATACCCATTGTTATCTGTTACCCATCCGGGATTTTTATCCAAGTAAAGAAAATAAACAAGTGTAAGTACATTCCGTACTTAGCAAGCTAACATGGGGTTATGAAGCTCAAAAGGTTAGACTCGGTTTAACGCAGGTTAGCATTTTTATTAGGTCAAGCTTTTATTCTCAAGTATTATCAAGTTATGCTTAAGCTCCCATTTAATTCCCATAAGAACATATATCGAGTCATATGTACCATATATCATCACTAAACAACTTTATAAGATCATCATCAAGTATCCGAGTTATTCATGAGTTTTCCGGGCCGCTCGTAATCAGTGTGAGCACGGCTGTTATAATAGCTTTGTTACCCTCTGCAGAGGTGGTGCACATTCACATGAGTCGTGATCCCCATATGCCCGGTTAATTACTCCCATGTCACTTCCAAGGTGAGCGGGCAGGGTACACTATGAAGCCATTTCATAGGTTTCCCTAACAAGTTAGGGCCGCTAGGTTTCCTTGGCGGCGAGATGTAGAACCCCCTTTCCTATGGCACATATCCATCATGCTATACACATAGGAACAGAGGCAGCCCTATACCCAACGTGGCAAGCCCCATTTGCGCCAAAAAGGTAACCTCTAACTAGCTAGAAAAGGTCCTATTACTGAGCTAAAGTCAGAGCCATATGACTCTCCCGGTTGCACTGTCAGTCCCAGCTTTTGCCGACAGATAAGTCCTTATGGAGGGCCGGGAGCAACATGAACAAAGGTCATTTGCACTTTCGCCCTATGGAACAGTTGTTATAAATCAGGTTATACTTTTAGTTCCATAGATTCATTCATCATCATGTAGATCATGTTCAGTTAGAGCACTAGCAATCTACCCATATGCAATTACCCAATAGGAGTCAAGGGAACAAGTCATCAATTGTCTAGAATGTCCTTAGGGTTATCAAAATTAGACACATGCACATGAGTAATTGATTAAAGTGAAATAGGACATCAAGGAAGGCCCATGTTATACTTGCCTTGGTTCACAAATTCGTGCTGGTCCTGCTGGTCGTCGAAGAGTTCTTGGTCTCCAACGTTTTCCTCACCGTCTGAACGCGACCAACACGGCAACATACAACATTCCAAAAGCATTCATGCAAAGCAAACATTCCTATCATTAGAACAGTACACCAACAGTATTGAAAACAAGATAAAATGTTTGTAAAACTAATCTACGTTTCGCTACGATCACGTCAACGCGAAGTTCACGAAAAACGGAGCTACAATGCGAAAGTTATGATTAAAACGGGTTTTCCAAAAGCCCTATATTTAATTAATTCTAATCATGAAATTAAAAAGTTCCAAACTTGACTAACAGTAGCTCCAACATGTAGCTTATGAAATTACGAAGCTAACGCGATTTGAATGGGTCAATTCGGAGTTAAAACGACAATTCTATAAGCGAAACAGTTCGAATGGCATTTCTGTAAATACTGAAAGCGTACTTTTGACTTAACAGCGAAGTTTACGCTTTCTAAACAGGTTTGCGCATTCGGAGAAATACGCTAAGGACGGCGGGTTAGGACTTAGAAAAATCCAGGGACTCTTTAGCAAATTTACCCCCGAAGGGGTATCTTCTATTTCCGGCCGTTGATCGCGCGATGGACGGTTCGGATTAGCTGGGGGGTTTCGGCCGGCCGGAACAGTGACTCCGGCGAGGCAAGCCATGGCCGGCGGCGTGGAGATCACCGGCGCGCGGGTAACTTGGCCTACGGGCCTCGGTTTTCGAATCCGAGAGCACCGGGAGAACGAGAGGGAGCGGGCGAACACGTCCATGCCAAGAAATCAGCCGGAGGGGAAGGCCGGGGCGGCGGACACCATGGCCGGCGGCCGAGAGCATTCGGGCGCACGCGAAACGGGCACTAGACACCATGAAACTCAAATTAAACGGCTTGGGGAGGTAAAGGGGATCATGGGGAGTCTCACAGCGGGGAAGGATGGAGACGGAGACGGCTCGGTGACGGCTGGCCGCGCGGAGGTGAGGACGGCGGCCGGCGGAGCTTCTCCGTGCGTCGGTTGCGGCCGAGAGCGAGGGCGAAACTGGAGCGGGGCAGCAGGGGCGCGCGAGAGGGGGCTCGGCTCCTATTTATCGAGGCCGAGGAGCGGAGGGGGACGCTCCCACGACGCCAGTCGTGGGCGGCGGTTGCTGCAGCGCCGGGCGCGGGCGGTTGCCGCATGCTGGAAGGAGACGGCATGCGACAGTGGGGCCCGGCCGGCAGCGATCGGCGCGGGGGCAGCGGCGGCGGTTGGCGGCCGAGTGGGCCGGCGGGGCTTGCTGGGCCGAACGGCCGAGGCGCTGCTGACAGGCCAAGCACTAACATGGGTAAAGGCTGGGTGATCTTTGGCAGCAGGGAAAGAAATGGCCATGGGGCCGAAAGTCCAGGAAGAGAGGGAAAGAGGAATTTTTCCTTTTCTTTTTCCAAACAAATTTTCCAAAAGCATTTTAAATACAAATTTCAATTAGATTTTGAACTCATTTGGAATTCGAATCAAAACCATTCATCTCAAAATAAATATGCAACAGCATGTATGCATCACTTGCAGCTAACCTTATATTTGATTTTAGTTTTCACAAAATTATTTATTTCCTATATTTCAATGCTCACCAAAATTGCTTAAATAAATCAATTTGGTTATTTTTAGAAAATGCAAATTTAGGGTGTTACAATAAGCCTATATGAAATACAATTGCAAACTCATACCCGGGGTAACACAAGTTGTTGAGCTAAACAATTGCAGTTCAAAAAAATTCAGCTAAGACTCCAAACATATAAGGATGTTCTTCCATAAAAAATCCCAAGCACAATAAATCCTCATGTCTGACCACATCAAATTTTAATTAACTAGCATGTCATCAGGTCAAAGTGAATTGCGCCAACATCCACAAGTAACAAAGCTCTGTGTAATTTTTAATTCATCCAAAATTCTAGTTGAGCTAGCATGAACCCTAATTGATCAACTAGCTAATAAAAAAAATTTCTTTGCCTTTTTTTCCCAAAGAGAACACTAGATATTTTATCCTCAGTCTTTCTCAAGTCTACACCTCTTTCATGCACTTATCCACATTACCGGTTCACAAAATTTCTGTTGTTAAATTGCGGTCTCTTTGCTTTCAATCCAAAACTTCGTTGGTGCTCTGGTTGCAAATAAAAGAAGTTCTCATTCAAAAGAACGGACATACCTAAAGCTGTAGAAAACAATCCTGCTAGTGCATCCAGATACCAGTTCCCGTTAGCATCATAAACATAACAACCCTGCATACAAATGTTACATATATGGCCTATATATTATAAGACAAAAGAAGGGAGATAAATGAATTTTGAAGACAAATGAATGTTGAAGAATGCTTTTCTAGGTGCACAATTTCATCTATGCACCTAGATTTATACTGTGTCTAGGTACACAGAAAAACATATATATCTAGAAAAGTTAGAACGACTTATAATTTAGGATGAAGCTAGTACCATCTTTGTTTCAAGCTAAGATACCTGCCAAAGTAAAATATGATGGTAGCTTTATTTAAATTTAACCATTAATTTATTTTAAAAAAGAATTTAGATTACTAAAGTGAAAAATCATAAGATGTGCAATGCTAACAAGTTCATAATTACAATTTTATAAATTTGTACTGGTATACTCCTACATCACTAGCTGCCCTCATTTGTCTATGCACTAGAATAATTTTATCCTAACAAAATATTTATTCCCTTTTGGCAAGACTAGAGACACTTTTGGAAAAATTTGCAACAAAATAAAGAAAATTTGGGGGAAATACCTCTTACATTTATATAAATTTGCAATGGCACATAAAGAAGAGATAAACATATGTGTGACACACCCAAAATCCTGAAATTCATTTTTCCTCCAATTATAGCTTTCGATCCAGCCAATAATTTTTGTCACAGAGAAATAGTGCTGCGATTTATTTTTGTTACGAGTGAAGAATAATAGTATAACTCCGCCTTAGTGCTTAGTTGCCCTCAAAATAAAACACCACTAACACATGACCATGCCATGCATCGGTTTTCATTTCACGACTACTTACAAAATCATTTTTAGTGGCGGGTGTTTTCTATTAATAGAGGCGAGCAGACTAATCATCTCTATTAAATAACCTTTGTTCTGCCTAAGTGTCTTTCATGATTCAAACCACATAACACCTCTCTACCACTGCGCTACATATTTTTGGGTGGGTATATAGGACACTATTATTTTGTATCAAGATTTCATAATATTGTATTGAATATTTCAGCCTCAAAATGATTTCGAAGGAAAAAGTTTCAATAGAAACTTAGATCTTGGTAAGGTCTACAATTTTAATATAGGGTGTGTCTTCATCTGAGATAGTTTGAAAAATTCATAAATTTAAATCTCAATCTGAGAAATTTAAAACAAATATTTACAACTCCATTTTTTGAAATAAAAAACTATTTAAGAGCAAAAAATTGTAGACTGTGTTGATAACTACAACTTTGGTAGAGATTATGTCAATGTTTGATGTTGTTTCAAATTCCAAAATTTTAAATTTCAACATCTTAGAACATAATACAAATATTTAGGAATTTAGAGGACTTCAAATAGAAAAATTTGCTAACTACAAAGTTGTGTAGACGTATTGAGAGCTATGACTTTTGTCACCTTTTTCTGGAAAATTTTCAGAAAATTTAGGGTACACACATGCGTGCGCATTCGGTGGTACTGTGTGTTTCCCCCGCACTAGAGGCTGGAGAGCCTCCCAATCTCTTCTTTGCTGGTGTAAGGACGCGCACACATGTGTGTGGTGTGAGTGTTGTCAACTACAAATTTGTAGGCGTCGAGATCTACAATTTTGGGTTAAAATTTGTCTCCTCTGAGTTCATATGTAAAGTTATTTTTTTAGATAACTATTTATAGGGGGGTCCCTAGAATGGTTGCCTCTATTAATCGATTTTTAAATATGGATCCTTAGAATTCTCACCTCTTACAGTCATTTCTAGAGGGGGGAGGGCAATAGCCTTTGATCTAAAAAAAGCCTTTAAAACCAATTCTGGATTTCTGGTGCCATACATAGCCATGTTCTTGAGCAGAGTCGTCGGCCGCATCTGATTTGAGCAGAGTCGTCATCTTCCCCAATGCAAGAGGCCAAGATGGAGCCCAATTAATCAAGACGAATGAATGTTCGTTAGCTAGTTCTCGCAAGAGTACTTTATTTCTTATTTTGGATTTTGGAGTAATATAACATACGAGGGGGGATGCATGCCTATATATAGATAGTACGTGTAGCAGCAGCAGCAGCAGCAGCAGAATTGCAATTTCTTCAAACGCCGCGACGTAGACAGATCTATAAACTAGGACCAACTTGCACACGGCACGTCGGCCTGAGCTAGCTAATCCTAGCGTTTACATACACGTAGGCACGGCTCCGCCGCCGTTTGACGTCTTCGATCTGATCTGATCTGATCTTGCTGGTGAACAATTCCTTTTTCTCTTCTCTTTTATATAAATCTGCAGTTAAAACTTTGAGTTAGTCTTTCTCCCATGCTACATCTAAATGGTTTGATTATTTTTCCCTATTTTTTCTGAAACCACAGATCTAGCATTTCATGACTTTATTTATGTAAATGATTGTATGTTCTTAGTTTTCTAGCATTCCATATTTTTGTCTATGTAAATGATTTTTTTTCTTTTTTTAGTATTTAAATGTTTGTTATCCATTTATGAAAAATGCTTCAGAATTGAATTACATATAGTCCAAATAAGATCTCAAATGCTTATACGTCCTTTTTCAGGAGAGTGTCTTGTTCCATACTCTTGTTGCTTATCACTTGGGCGCCAATAATGAATGATGATGTTTTTCTTGCTCAGCTGAGATTTACCACGTTTTGCTGCCCCATTGGCCGTGCTCTGCTTTAACCCTAGATGCCTTTTTGAACAGCGCATGCTGCATGAGAGCAACATGAAAATTCTGAAATCTAGATAAGGACGAACAACAGTACATGCATGCTGCATGAGAGCAACATGAAAATTCTGAAATCCAGATGAGGACGAAAACACATCAAAACATGGTAGTCATATGCTTCCCTAGAACTTCCGTTCATATCTTTCAGGTGTCCTCTCTTCTCATTACCAGTATGCAATGCGATCAATAGATAAAACATTTATTTTACATGTTGTCGTACACAAAATATCTCAATTTGTTAGATTGATTTCTTATTCTCAAGCGTAGACTTGTTTTCATCTATCTAAAACTATGCTAGGGCACCAAGTTAGTGGTGCGAGAAATTTCATTGTTGAATCTTTTATAGGTTTTACTTAATCACGAAATTAGGGTTTAATATATCCTCATCATGTTCTATATCATCACCAAATTATAGATGTTACATAGTAATGCTTCTTGTTTTTTTATATCTCGAGTTCTAGATCTCCGTTTGCCGTGATTTGAATTGGGTTAATTTATAAATTTTATCAATTTTATTGTGATAGTTTTTGGGATCAATTGGAGTTACAGGTTTTTTTTTGTCGAGATCAATTTTATTAAGGGTGCAGTATTCTGTCAAGAACTTAAAACGAGTGGTAACTTGGTTTTGTGTTTAAGGTGAAGTCTTAAAATTATTTTTTTAGCTTCTGCAGTCATTCACCCCCTCTGATTGTCTATATTAGTATGAATCGATCCTGCAAAGTTGCAGTAGTCGGTCTAGGTTGAATAATTGGCAATGTAAGTGCTTGATCTTCACTAGCATAGGAGCTTGTTGCTCATGGTCGATGAGAGCGTGATGCATCTGGACTTCTGGTGAAAGAGTCGAATTGAGTCAAGCTTATAGACCCTCAAGTGGCCCTAACCGATTGATTGTGTGTAGAGTAGATTAGAGTTGCTAATCACATTTAGGGGTAACCCCCTCTTAACTGTAAGCTATATATGTAGGACCGAGGATGCTTCCATGGTTGACTTATTAGGTTATCCCTTCTTGCTTCAATACAAATAATTTATCTTTCTCGTTTGAATAGCCAATACTCTGTTCATAAGACCACCCGCTCTAGATATATTTTAGCAGTGATGATATAATAGCCTGTGTCATACTATCTCCCATTTACGTACATTGTATTATACCCTAGGAGCTTCTCCTCCTTTTATTGCTTGAATGAATAGTGGTGACTTGTTGATGCGCTTTGAGTTGAGGATCATAGTAGGCACACCTTGGTCACCATGTGTTATGTGTAAACATGCATGGCAATCAATGCTTCGCAATCAGGAGGGCATATACTCTTCACTGAAACACTGAATCACTCCATTGGCGAATTTTCCTCCGTGGAGAGTGTGGCCTTCAATTCATCTCCAATCTTGCTTCTATATTCTTCATAGGATCAAAGTCATCAACTTCTTAATTGCCACCAGCTCCGTGGCACTGGTAGCTGCGACATGTGGAATGGAGAAGAGAATTATTGGCAGCTCCGTGATTCACACATATGCCAGCAAGTATAGAGATATTCATACCATATTTGATTCGTCCTAGCAGAGCAAGCCAAAAGTGTTACCCTTATTCACACAAATTCACACCAGACTTTGGACTCAAACTAGCACAGAGCAAGCCAAAAGTTTTTCCTTGTCACGTACACGTACTGGATTCACAACTAGCAAAGCAAGCCAAAAAAAAGTATATCCTTGTTCACATATATGTTCACACTAACTAATGCAATCATTTAAGATAAATAGCAAGTCAATTCACATACGTTCCACACATCACGTTAAAACAAAAAAGGTCAACTCAATTTGTAGATTGCAGATTATAGATTACCATTGTAACAAATCATAGATCAACTCATCAATACACACTATCATAGATAACCGTTGTACCCTATAAACACTGCTTTTGTACTCGGGAAGAGAAAAACGACAAAGCAATGCTAACTTGCTGCATGAGAGCAACATGAAAATTCTGAAATCCAGACGAGGACGAAAACACATCAAAACATGGTAGTCATATGCTTCACTACAACTTCCGTTCATATCTTTCAGGTCTCCTCTCCTCTCATTAGCAATATACAATGTGATCAATAGATAAAGCATTTATTTTACATGTTGTCGCATACAAAATATTTCAATTTTTAGGGATTGATTTCTTATTCTCAAGCGTAGACTTGTTTTGATCTATCTAAAACTATGCTAGGGCACCAAGGTAGTGGTCCGAGAAATTTCATTGTTGAATCTTTTATAGATTTTACTTAATCAAATAACGATCCGTGGGGGGTAGACAGCCCCCGGGGCATTTCTTCTTAAGATAAAATTGAAGGTGACATTCTCACGTGGATTGAGAAAACCCCCGAGCTCCTGTCCCACCCGTACAAAGCGGCACGCAGATTGAGAAAACCCCCGAGCTCAAAGCGGCACCACAGTCTACGAGAGACTAGGCCGGACCTTAAACCTGTGCTTTGGCGTGGGACATGCGATGGGTTTTTTCTACAACGTGCAAAACTGAGCATACGGAGGTGGGAAGTCCTGGAGCTTCCCATCACCAGGATGCTATCAACCGAGCTACTGCTTGTCTGAATCACGAAATTAGGGTTTAATATATTCTCATCATGTTCTGTATCATCACGAAATTATAGATGTTACATTGTAACTCTTCTAATTTTTTTATATCTCGAGTTCTAGACCTCCGTGTGTCGTGATTTCAGTTGGGTTAATTCATAAATTTTATTAATTTTATTGTGATAATTTTTGGTATCAATCGGAATTACATTTTTTTTTCTTGCCGAGATCAATTTTATTATGGGTCCAGAACGTAAAAAGAGTAGTAATTTGGTTTTGTGTTTAAGGTCAAGTCTTAAAATTATTTTTCTAGCTTCTGCAATCATTCACCCCCGCTGATTTTCTATATTAGTATGAATCGATCCTGCAAAGTTGCAGCAGTCTAGGTTGAATACAAACTTCAAATATAGTAATGGTTGAATAGTCATAAACGATATCTCTTTTCGAAAAAAAAAACAATTCCTCGTAAATGGGATGTTCCATCTGTCTTCAACCCTACTTGTATCCAGGTCTCGTAAAGTTTTATTTGGTCTTTGAGTGCTCGGTAGATTGGTATAAAATAATGAGTAAATAAAAAAGGATTATGTGGTCTGTAATTGGTGACTCCTCTTCACAGTAATATATGTATATATAATATATATAATAAGAGAATAATATTGGAAACTGTAACACCCTAAAATTAGCTCTTTTGGAAATAGGTGTAAATTGAGGTAATTTTGAATTTTTGTGCTCATGAAAACATAGGAAAATAAAAATTTTCATTAATTTAAAATTCATTATAGGGAGTAGCAACATGGATGTGCATACATGCCGGTGCATTTGTTTCTTTGTATTGTGTGGATTTGATTCAAATTGAAAATATGCCAAAATGTTTTTGAAGTTGGCTTTGAAGTAAAAGAAAAGAGAATTAGAACATAAAAGAATTTAAAAAGTTGTCAAATTTATTTTTGAAAACTTATCAAAACTTCTCATTTATGTTTGAATTGAAAAGTGTATTTAAAATCCTATTCAAATTTGTTTTGGTTTACATTGAACTTGGTTTTTAAAACAAATTACAAAAAGATTTGGTTAAAAAAAGAGAAACCCTCTCTCCTCCTCTCTCTCCCTTTTGGCCTGTTGGCCCAGTTTTTTTTTCCGTCGGCCTGTTTCTCCATCGCGCGGCCAGCCAAAGGCCAGCAGCCCATCCCTCTTCTCCCCGCCTTGGCTTCGGCCCACCCCTGCGCGCCGGTCCATCTCTTCCTCCCCATGGCCCAGCGTCACCAGCCCCTCTCTGCTCGTGGGCCGGCCCAGCCGAAGCTGTCGCGCCATGCGTCCCCTCTCCTCTTTCTGGCCGACATCCTGGCCCCGCTTCTCAGGGCGTCTTCTTCCCCGCTGAGCCCAACCCGGACTCCACCGCCGCCGCCAATAGAGTCCGTGCTCGCCCCGCCCCGCGTCGCTGCCGTGCACGCCAAGCAACCCGGGCCCATATAAGCCGAGCCGCACCTTGCGCCGCCTCCCAATCCCACACCCACGCTGCAGCCGCATCGCCTCGAGCCAACCGCAACAGCCGCAACCTTGGCGACGCCGCTGCTGAGCTCGATTTCACCGTGCTGCCGCTTCACCGTGACCGTAAGCCATCTTTCGAGCTTCGTGACGAGTTTGTGAAGCCGCCGAGGTCCTTTTCCCTCTTTCTTTTGCTTTTGGTCGCTTGTCTCTCGTCGCCGACGATTGCTGGAGCTCCAACACCGCTGTTTTGATCCGCCAGCCATCTCCGTCCGCTCCTAGCCACTAAAAACCACCGTGGTGAGTTACCCATCTTCCCCTCTTGCTCTTCGTTCAAATTCTAATCCTAACTGAGGTCTTTAGGGCTGGTTTTGTGTCTCTCCGGCGAGGAAAGTCGCCGGCGGCCATGTCTTCCGCAGAACCGGTCACTGTAGCCGGCCGGCAGCCTCCTCTTTCTCCCCCTCTGTTCTAATCTGAGCTATCCATCTTGGATTCAATGGCTTAGATTAGCCCGTACCTTTTCGGCTGGTACTTTTGTGAAAGAGCCCCTGCGTATTTTAATATCGAACCCATGGTCCAAAGCGTAGTTACATATTTTGTTTTCTTCTTTTGAAAGCGTACTTTGTTTCGGTTAGATTGAAAATACGTTTTCAGCTATTCACAGTTTTGCCACTAGATTTGTTTTAGCCATAACTTCTCCGTTTTAACTCCGATTTGACCCATTCAACTTACGCTAGGTTCGTAATTTCATAATCTACATGTTCATATTACTGTTAAGTATGTTTTTAACTTTTAAAATTCGAGGTTAGATTCAATCTATTATTTTATTAAAGGAAATCTTGTTTAAATCATATCTTCTACGTTTGTAACACCCGGTTTCAAGGA